CCACTGGCAGTTTAGGTAGTAACTTCATTATCAAATAGAAAATTCTCAGTGTTGCTGCATTTTGTGATCATTTCAATATTTATTAAACCGTTCAATCAGTTCAATAGCGCTGGAGAGTTGGTTAAGGTTTGTTTGGTAAGGTTAACCTTATTTCATTCAGGTCATTTATTTAATTATATCATTTATTTGGAACCTAGAGGTTCCTAGACAATCCAATTGTTCAAATGTATATGTTACCGCAGGACTACGTCCCGTATGTTGCCATCTGGTCCCATCCAAATTTACAGAAAAAATCCTTTCTCTTACGGTAAAAAAAAAGAATACTGTTAATTATAATCCATCATGATGTAAACACATTGAAGGCAGAGCCTTTCTTCTTCTTCCTTTTTAAAACCCTTTTTTCAAGTTAATTCTAAGCAATTGCAAGTTATTTTAAGCAATTGATATGTTTGACGACGAAAAGATAAAAATTCTCCCTTTTACTCGTAGTTAAAGACCCAATTTTATACATTTAATTACATGTCATATTTATCTATTTTAAATTTAACGATAGAGACGCGAAAGTGTTGCATTGATTAAAAATGTTACCAAAAATCTTATAAATTCATAACACATTACTCTGTCTACAAGGGTCTACGCAGAGTTACTGTATTCCTAAATCTAAATTCATCTCGTGAAATGTTTCTCATTTTACGAGTACAATAAAACGGTAAGTCGACATCGACGTCAATCACGCATACAGTCGGAACATGCCAATGAGCAACAGGTACAACCAACCATTCACCACGCTTATAATTTAACTGGAAGAGTCTATATGTGATGAATCCCTGATCTATTCCTTATTAAAAACTGATACAGCACCATTAAAGCATGCCTTCATTATAGGTTTAAATCTATCGCATCTTGTCCAGTGATGTTTAATTCTGTGGATAGTAGTGGCTTAAATTCAGACGTGCACGGTGCAACTCAAGACCATAAATTTGTCAATGTCGCATGTGTCACAGCATTGACTACTCCTAATTTTTATTAAACGTCTTCGTTGCTGACTGGAATGCCAAATAGTGATTAAAGATTCAGGCTCGGTACATTCGTCGCGACAGCTTCAGGTACTTTCATTAAATAGTTTTACATCTTTGCTGTTTACAGTCTGAACATACTGAATAGTACGGGCATGTTGGTTAGTGATCCTAAATGATAAGCCAGAGGTCGTGGGTTTGTTTTCCACCCCCAAATAATTGTGTGCTGAGCACAATCATGTGTTCTGTGTCTAGTTGTAATATGCATGTATTTAGAAATATTTAAGTATGTTTATCAGCAGTCAGGTTACCATTGCACAGGCTGTGATTATTTTGGGATCAGACTGCCGTGTGTGAGATATGACAAGTTACTATTATTATTATACTTTGCCATATACTTTTCAAATATACGTTAAATATTATAGTAATATTATCTGTGCTTTCACGAACTGCGGTTTCATAATTAAAACGTTTCACATTATGGTCTCAATTCTTACCTCACGCAAGGTTCTAAGAAGATGTATAGAATGACTCCCCGCTGAGTCTTCGCCCGAAGTGTCAAAATGTCCGAGTTTTACCGCCCTTAACAAACCTAACAATACTTAAAGTTTTGAAAGAGAATTTTTGTAGTAAAAAGAACTTTATGTTTTAAACAACACGGTATACAAAATGAATACAATCGGCACATCTAAGTATTTTCATGGTAGTATATTTGCGGTACCTGATATCGCAGGATAAATCTATTAGTTGCATTCACAGTAAGGGTGGGATGAATTCAATAGGGACATTTACACCTCTATGGTTTCTGGGAAGGTTATACACCATGAAATCGAGATGTCGTCAGGTGTGACTTGAAATGTCAATACGATTGAGCTTATTTTATCTATCTATATATTAATACGCGAAGCGAAAACTTTATACGTGAAATTTGACACAGTTAAAGTTTTTATGGAGAAGAAGTGCATAAAACTATTTGAAACGTATTTGAAGCCATGATGAAACTTTTGATTATAGAGGTATAATCTTTGACAAAAGAAACCTAATAAAGTTCAAATTAAAAAAATTGATGAATTATGGTCGAATTTCGAACCACTGTGCGACTGTGATTACTAGTGAGTAATTATGAATACGTGAAGAAAAATCTTTGTACTCTCTAAAATTGGTGTATATACTTTGTATACTTACTTGTTATAGTTTCGTTAGGTAAAACATAAAAAGTACCTTTGAATATGTGGATTACCAAATGGTAACAATTTTATAATAATAAGTCTTATAACCCGGGGTTTAGTGTATTTGTAGACTTGCTATAATGATAGTTCAAATTATACTGATCAACAAGATAAAACAAGTTATCGACCAGGTGAACTCTAATCCATTTAATTCAGTAAAAACTTCGGAACGCTTTTTAATATAATTTCATCTTTTTTATTATTCTACTTCGAGCCCAGGCTACAAATTATTTTTTTCTGTGCGTCATCTCGTTTTTCAGCAATGTCTCATGTTGGGAATGCCTAATTTATTTTGTAAGTCAAATTTATCCAAATAGATAGCAATATTTATATTGATGGTAACTCAAAAGGTAAGGTAAAGGTTTACAATATGCATAACTGTCAGTTAAATAAAACGCAATTTAAAACTTTTTAAAAACTTAAAATTTATGAAAATAATATCTTTTTATTTCAGATTAAGGTTCATATTTTTGTCAGATGTAGTGTTAGTAATAATAGTGCTTAAGTGATAAGTTAGTTTTTTAGTTATTACTTTATTCTGTCGGGTCTCGCAGCGATCATTTGCAGAATGTTGTTACACAGCCATGCAAGTGCTGTAGTAAGGAGGCCGTTTTCTTTTGCATAATTACTTAGAAATCATCTATGCGAGGCTCCGTGAACATACCGGACGCGCTACATCGCCATGGCGGCAGTCCTTACAGCATCCTGAAAGCATTATTTCTCTAAGCTAAGCTCTCTATATTCTATCTCCAACGTCCCCTTAAGTCGCTCTGGGCTCGCTCTATGGGCAGAATATTGCATGATTGCTGATTAGACGCTTTATATTATTACCACAGGGTCAGTCAATATTTCAACCGACATGTGTGCCGCTCAGTCACTCGATAAGTCGGTTGATATAAATATTAAATAGCAGAGGCGAGCTTAATCCCCCCTGCTTAATCCCGCATTTCAGCGATATATCTATACTCATCCGACAGAGTACCCACTAACCTCACCCGGTTCTTTTGCTTAAAGTACCAATATTTGAGGAGAGAGGCGAAGTACACGCCGGCAAACCCGCATTCCTCAACTTGTCGGACAATATATCATAGGTAACTAGATCAAAAGCTTTGACAAGTCGAGGACACACGCATATACCCTCGTCCTCCCGTGTGTAGTACCCGACAGTTTGCTTCAGACTCATAATAGCACACTCTATTGAGACTCTTACTCTGAAACCGAACTGTGTATCGGACAACACAACCTGCACAGTAAGGCCACTATTCAGCCGACTATCAAGCACTTTGGCTATTTTGTAGCGAATAAGGTGGGCCTAAAATTACTTATGTCAGACGTATCACCCGTCTTGTTTTTAACTATAGGAATGACTAATGTCCGCATAAACGGTTCTGGCAAATACGACTGACCTATGCACAGGCAGAAAAAACATACTTGAAAAACAGTACTTGCGGCAAACGAACCCCCACATATAATACTCGAAACTACTAAATCTATAGTAAATCATTTTCCTGCAAATAATTTGTATGCACCTAACAAGCTTGAAAACTTCAAGCACACTTCGGGCATATGTATTCTAATATATACGGCGGCAACATTTGGCAAACCTGATTTTTTATGATATTCATGTCTCGTGTGGCGCAACCAAAGCCAGGCTAGTTGAACATTCAGTTTTAGTGCCCTGTTTACGTCATCAAATGTTTGTCACATTTGTCACGTGAAGAGTGACTGATTAGACCCACTGCTGGATGTCATGCATAATATTGAATGAGTTTATGTTTTTTTTTCCATTACTTTCAGTCTGTTCTGATCGTATAATCGCGTCGGTGACGTCGTAAACCAAATACTTATGTTTTTCATATTGATAAACTATTATATTGGATCTGTTCAACAATAGAAGCAGATTTGGTCTAAACTAAGAAGTGTAACCGACGGAAGTGATCGATGATTTTGGCTGTTCTTTTCTCAATCGGTTGTAGAGTAGACTTTTTAAAGTTAGTTTGTAGCAAAATCATATGTACCAGAAATTTTGAATCACTTCCTATACACTCTCATTATTCGATCGTTAATGTTAGGATACCATTAAGATATTTTTAACCTGACCTCACAATAAGGAAAGTTTCGTTTGCTGAGTATGTGTATTGTATAAAATATATTATACACATTATGTTTTATTAGTAAAATTGCTTCATGTATGGTAACAAGAGCCGACCAAAGGAGCAAACTAATCAGGACAACATCACAGCAAAGAGAGGGAAGACTTGGAAGAAACCCTTTACCAACCCGTCGCGTGGTATTTATTGTGGTGGTAATACCTCCTTTTTAAGGAGAGGCCTATGTCAAGCAGTGGACTATTAAAAGCTGTTGTTGTTGATGATGAGCAAGTTAGTCAAGTTATTTTTTAATATTATTGTGTGGTGGTAAGTGTCTTCTCTGTTAATCATTTGCTTTATTATAGTTCATCATATGTACCGTTTTTTCCCATGACTTTACAACCGATATCACTATTTTTGGATTACAGCATATTGTTCTTTGAAATTATTTTATTTTTGTCCTCTTAAAGAACAATTACCGTATCTAGCTAAAATGTAGGTAAAATGGGGACAGGGCGGCAATCAGTCAGTGTAGACACTAAATAAATTCATTAGTTAAATCACCGCCGGCGGCGTTTTGTGTCGGCATACATCAAAGGGCCAGTCCGCCGCCCTGCCGGGGGCTCGCTCGTTCAACTTTTTACTCAGAAAACTCTGTAAACAAAATGATATGGTGCGTCCGAATGTTTGATCCGCCTTTATTATCTGTATACAGAGTGAATGTTTAGCTAGCAAACGTACTCTCTTTGTGGTAATTGTGGGCATGTTATAACTTTTGTGAGCACGGGTAAACATCTCTTTGAAGAAGCTCTGGGATCCATCGATTCCAGATTTCTGTCGGTCAATAAAAACTTCAGTTCAGCATATACTGTTTTTATTCTGCAAGTTTTCAACTTCGACTCTATTGAAAACTAATTTCATTTTATTCCATTACCACCACTGTGGCAGTGTATAAAGTTATTCTGTAGATATCGATAATGATAGTACGTCTTCATTGTAATTTGGTGGCAATCGTAGCAGCTTCATTCAATGCTCTTATTTTGCCGCTCAGCTTCCCTCTCAATTGTTAGAGAGAGACAGTTGCAACATGTGTGTGGTCCTTAGGCACGGAGGCTCGGCCGTTTCCGTTGGGCTTCGGGCCCCATCGTACTCAAGGTGGCAACATAAGCACCCGAACCATCATGGCGGCTCAACAAACATTCAGTCTACGCATTTGGTACCTGATTCAGTATTGCTCGAGTCGCGCCGCTGTCGACACGCTAACGCGCCGTGCCTTTTGTTATGAAACTCGGTATCGGTCCGTGTTTCGAACGGTAAAGTGAAACATAGAAGTGACGAATACTGGTGTACAAGTGTGTGGTTATGTGGCGGCGAGTGATATGACAGCGTGCGCCGCCAGACGGACTCCGGCCGTCTTCATGAGGATACTGGTGACAAGCCTGGCCCCGAGATCATGGTGGCTCCCGATTCCGAGGCTCCTGCAAATCCTCGGATAGCGGCCGCCGCGCATGAAAGTCCTTCAGCTGCCGAAGCGCGCCACAGCGCCGACTTGTACATTCGCACCAGCTGGGTAGACGCAGCCTTAGCGCTCTCCGAACTACAAAAGGTGCAGTGTTCACTTATATACGAGATACAGTGTCCAGTTTCGATTGTCATATTACACGTGTGATTGTTTTTCTGCGAATGCCAATCGCGTTGAGGAACGCAACACCGCAAAGTGGTGGCGCCGACTAGTGGAAACAGTGCGTACTATCAAGGCCGCGCGTATTTTGTACTGTAAATCTAGGCTACCTACTTCCTTACAAGATAGGTACAATCGAAGGATATTGTCATAAGCTAGACTTGAAATAAACGCTTAAATATATAAGTTCATAGCTTTACTTTGCTTTAAATATTTATATTTAACTCAACATTCTATTCATATTTTTACTACTGCAAAAAGGAAAAATGTTTAGTATTTTTGTTATCACTAAGTATGAATGTTTACTTCATACTCTGGTCCAAAGTTACAAAATTAGCTAGCTTACTTCGTCAAGTCAAAGACCTAATCCATTGCAGTGAAAAATTTTAAAGAGAGATGTTACATTTATGGAAAGCCTTGCAATGGTCGGGTGAGTAGGTAGACATGCCGTGTATGTATACCACAACGGCAGACGGGTTCGGGGAAGGTAGCGCTTTCCTAGAAGGCCGCACGCACGACCCGCGGTGGTCCGCACCCCTACCAATGCTTTTCGCGAAACTTCTACTACAAAGTTTCTCAATATTTCATTGCACTGATGACGGATTTTGGTCACAATTGTTTTTTATTGGTGTTAATATTTTGCTTATAAACAACTTGAGACAAATGAAAACTAATTCAACTACCATAAAATCTTAATCCACTCAACAATTTGGTGACACTTAATATAAAAATAATAAAAAACAGCTGTAGCATGTATTAGGTTAATGTAGCATGCCTTCGGTAGAAATGTGGTTACTTATAATGTAGGAACTTGGTCGGTCGTATGCAAGATGAAGCAATTAAGGCGCAGTGGGAGCGAGGGGAGGGGAGCTGCGCACGCGCAGCGCATCGGCGCCGATAGAGACATCAACGCGGCCCACACCACACGAACCGTTTACAAAAAAAACACCAGGCTTATTTTTTATGAATGGCCAGAATAATTTCATTAATATTTACACTGTATAATGCAGCTTATTTCTAAATATTTATAAGAAAACATGATAAACTATAGATATGATAAAAAAGAAAAACAAAATTTAAGTAGTAAATGATAAATTTTACTCTCAAATAATACATAAATCATTAATAATATAAGACGTCGAATAGGTATTATTAGGGCTTCTTTTAAATGACGAACAAATATTTAAATTACATAACTGCTTCCTAAATATAAAAATAAAAGAATGCTATTCTACGAAGTTTTATGTCTGACAAGACCGCACAGAGCTTGCCTCGTGGAATTGAGACATCTTGTGGTTTCCGATCGTACGTCCCTTTCTTCCATGGCAAAAAGCCAATTTCTTTCCTTCTCTCGAAGGTTTACATTCCATCTCTTTTCCACTAGTTTTTCCCACATATCTTCTGTCTTCGTCCAAACATTGCGTTCGCCGGCATTCGGCAGCTGCGTTGGAGACCTATAAATGATTGTACTATATCCCAAATTTTGAAGGTATGTTTTTTGAATAGCATAACATTTACTTAATAAGTTATTTTGTAACATACTACATAAAAGGTTTTTAATGCTGTAGAAGTAATGTATTAGCTCTTAACAATATACACTCTTGACAGTAATATTTTATAGATGTCAGCGAGTTAAATAATTTTTGTACTATGCAGCTACATACGCCAGGCATTCACATCAGGGCATTTAATATTCTTCCCCTACACTAGGCCATTCCTTCAACTATAGAGCAGCTGTATTTTGTTGATCGATAACAGCTTACCAGTCTATGCTTGTAATCTAACTTATGTATCTTAGAATAATATGTAAAGATCTTGTAAAAAAAGATGTAAAAAGAACAAGAAAATGTAGCCTGTTCATTGTATAAGGAATTTGGCCGAAGCAGCCATATGCCAGATGTTTTATCTCGTCATCTCGGCTATTAACCTAGTGCTTTATCGATAATATCATTATCACATGGCCACTAGAACCGGTTACGCCGCCCACCTACCACAGTAACTTTCTCAATATTATCGAACGTTTACTGTTTCTGCTTGATATCGTAAATATATCTCAAGTGGATTTGCAATTAAATCATACCTATTATTATTATATTTCGCTAAATAAATCTGTCAATTGTGCATTATGCCAGTAATAACTCTAATGGCGAACTTATTGTAAATACATATTTATCCTAAATATTATTGTTTTTACCCAATTTTCGGTTGACACGTAGTTATTGAAGTTTTACGATCCATCATGAAGGTTATTTTATGACACATTTGACCCCAGAGTTTTAACTCTCAAACGTCTGAAGTTAAATAACTTAAAAGTAAGGTATTTGTCCAAAATCTAATGAATTCTTGTCTAAAACCACAGGGTTAGGTTAATTGCCCGTGAAATATTTTTGTTTACTACGTAAAAGAAGATTTAATTGTCTGTATTACTAAATTTTGTAAATGTATGACAGTCTCAAAATTACGTAAACATATGAGTATAATCAAAGATGTCATTGACATTCAGTGGCATTGGCAAGTGACGCGTCGCCGGTGGCCGCCTGGCCAATTGGTCAAACGTGATGTCCTTGGCGAGGGCCATTCGAATATTTAATAATACGTGCACCAATATTACAAGGTAGCCTACAGGCGATAAAATATCTTTTTCTACGTTTTTTTATATCTCCAAAGTACATTTTCAAGTGTCGGTCTATTGGCTTTTTATCTCGAACACAAATTGAAACTATGTAAAAAAATTAATATCATATTGCTAGTTTTAAAAAGATATCAAGTTTTGTAAGACGCGTTACCGTCTAAATTATAAAAAGTAATTGTTACAAATATGTGGTGACGGATTAGGAAAACGGAGTCTCACCACCCATATTCGCCCCGTGGGTATCGTAAGAGCAGATTAAGGGAACAAACTACGCAGGACAACAGCACTGCAAAGAGAAGGAAAACTAGAAACAAACCCTATACCAACCCTTCTGGCTTGTATGGTATACCAAGCCAAAACCTCCTTTCTAAGGAGAGGCCTATGTCCAGCAGTGAGCTATTTAAGGTTGATAATGATAAATGAAATAAATGATGACAAATATTTCAATTTCTTTAAATAGAAAGAAAGACCAAATCTCCGTTCACTCTCAGAACTCAGAATCCCAAAAATTCTAGTACCTACATTCTGATTACTTTTACATAAGGCAAGCTTCAGGTAGCTTTCTACGGTAGTATGAACATTATTAATGTTAACAAGAAACAGGATTCGTCTTTGCCAAAAAACATTTTAATCACCAAATAAATTGCACTGAACTTATTGAAGTGGCAGTTCATTGCATACACTGTTTAATACCAAGGTCAAGGGTCAAGGGTCTCTCGCGTGTTGCCAGCCCTTAGAGGCTGTTGCATTTTTTAAATTAAGAAGAATTCCCAAAAATAAAGCTTACAACTGCTGACAACATACATCTCTTTATCTCGTGCAGGAGACCCTACTCTCAGCAGGAACCAAACAAATATTTATTATTATGTTCTTTAATATTTTTGTTGGAAATCTTTGTAGTGCTGTAAACATATTCGAACTTATGTTTGCTAAAATTTTACCTTTTTAAATGAATACCCAAAAGGACTACCTTATAAAAATTGTATTTTTCAAAGCAGGCAGAGGTAAAAGTGAGTATAGGATTGTAGAGCAGAGATAACGAGTGTCAGCTGTTTCTCCATTGCGAAAACAGTTGAGTATGAAGTTTTTGTATCCATGAAACGTGTAATTTTTGGACCGAATTTGTTGATCTCAAATGCGATTAAAATTGCTGACAGAAACGTATGTGTAGTGTGTCTAGCAAGACAAAATTAATGATAATTTAAATCCATTCACTAAAACTGGGTTCCGCCATGCCTAAACTAGTTAGTACCATAATTTTATTATTTACTTACTTCTACTTATGGAACAGTAAAGATTATAAAACAAAACTCTGTTCAGTAGTTTTGCGGTATAGACTAATACATGTAACTGTTGACTGCTTGGGAAACGAAAAAACTCAATTCTAAATGAGTGTGTTAGCGCATATGGTTTACGTACTGGTTAAGAATGATCTCTTCTTGTTTTCGTCTTCTATGGTCATGACTGGCTTTTCACCGACCTCAAAATATAAAACAAGGCCCCTAATTCGCTTGTCTTATACTTTAATTTCATTTTTATTCTTTACTTTAGTGTTTAAATAAAAATAAGTACTTTGTCGGTTTTTTAAAGATATTATACATGCACAACCACTGACAAGCAATAACAGACATCCAGACGTTTGAGGACGACACAAGCTCGTAGAAAATAATGACTATCTCTCATGACTGTTGCTGTTACATGTTATACAATGTCTTAAAAGACAATGCTTTGATATTGTAGTGAGATAACGTTAGGACCAACACCCACGGCTATTATATGCAGATATAGGGAATACCGCGGCTGCGTGATCAGACGCTGTGGATGTACTGGATGTCAATAGAAGACGGCGGATGTCAGAGATCCCGTCAATCATACTTCAACTCACTCCACTCATGTGCTAACGTTCAACTGATAAACATGACACATTTGAATGATACATTGTCCTACCCTCAATTGATGAATGAGCTAGATATTCTAGTCTAATGTGGTACTACAAACTGGGAAAAACTATGACATATGTTATTTATTAGAGATGAAATAAATATCCAAAAACCAAAAAGATATTCCAGCATATTGAATACCGTTTTCTATTATATAAAATGCAATGCAAATGTCGTTGAAAATCGAAATAAATATTTGTATATGAGTAACTATTCACTTAGTCATATATGGAATAACTAAAATCTGTTACAGATGTTCTCATGCAAAGTTGTTTCTAAATTACTTTATTTTTCTCATATCTTGACTCTCATTTTAGAAGAAAAGTTAAGGTAAGTTTTCCTTCGAAACGAATATCATACCGTGTATCGTTTAGGAAGAGCAACCCTTTCGGCAGAATAAAGGTACAATGATTAAAGTATGTTATCAGATTTCTTGGAACAGATGCATAGACATACAATTACTGGTTGACTTTGAGAAAAGTGTTTGAGTTTTGAGAAAATTTTCTGTTTAAGCAATTCTTGCGGTAAGAATCACAGCGGCCACTGAAACAAATGCTACTTTTTTAAAAGCAGCCATATCCCATCTTAACGACAATGTATATAAGCTTCTCTTAGCAATATAGTATATTGTGACTTTCACACTGTGACGGACTTATCTCATCTTTGTGGACATCAATATCACCTTCAAATTAGCTTTAAGGTAACCTGTGGTAGGTATATGGCTGGCTGACGTCTGTTATCACTGTGAATGAAGGTGGTTTTCGTAAATCTTATAGACTATATATATATATAGACAGTTACAGATAGTTTTTGCCTTTATCTACTACTACATACGAAACATAAATGAAATGTTCCGTAATTTCTATATTTAATTATATTATCGCCCTTGCGCCCTTTGCTCGTCATTCAACTATCAAGCCCACACAAGCATTGATAAGTATTATGACAAACAAAATTTGACTTTTTGAAGACACATTATGGAGTAATTAAATTGAGACAATTATTGTACGCACATGACCTTAGATAAAAAACAAAGTCAGGCGGCAACTACTTAGCAATATAATGCTCCTTAGGAAAACAGAACTTTATCTGTACTGTTTCCTGTAAGATGATAATGAGCTGTTTATATAATAGCTATGTAGTAAATATCAACAGAGAACATCCTGGAGTCATATAGTCAAAAGTACTAATTATGAGTGTTCGGTACTAGATTACTCTGCAACCACCGCATACCAGCCGGTTGCCATGGTCGTGAGAACGTGCACCTAGTAGGCCAATATCTTATCTGCAGGAAGTGCAGTCGCCGGCGCCGGCGCATCGCGGATTACACATAGTAAATAATCCTGTAACACTTGCGTCACCACTTTACTCGCGCGAGGATATCTCACCTCATACTAACATTACCCACGCTGATAAAACTGCTCGGGTATATCACAATATACTTGCATTTGTGTGCCAAATATTAGTACCTGAATGGAGATGTGTATGATGATGATACAGCGTGTTGCGTACGCTCCACGTGGGCCGCGCGACGAGCGAGGGGTGCCAGGGGGACGCGGGCGCATTCCGGCCGTGACGTCACGCCCACCCAGAGCGCCCGACATTCACCTCGTCCGTTCGCCGGCACTGTACTCGGACCGTTCTACGATCCTCGGCTGTATCATCCATTATACGCGCTACGATTTATTTATTTACGTTCACAAACTAAATAACTCAATATCAGCGCGTAACATTGGTTGGTTCAGCGAACTCTTTTGTATTTAGTTTAAGTCATTTAACTGGTAACAGATACAGAATTACTACATTTATTGCCATAAATATCTTAATAACAGCATCTTAATTAACGCAGTTGAAATTGCGTTTTTATTGAGAGGTGTCATTTTGAGGATGTTGTGGATGGATGGGTGATGATATGTTGTTTGTTTAATACGCTAATGGTTTGACTTGTTGGCCACGACCATTTACTTTTTTTTTAAACTAAAGAGAATATTGCACTAGTTTCATATTACTTATTTGTTTTTGAACTTATACCTGACTAATATTGACATTTGTAAAATCAATATGTAATCAAGTGTAAGTCTCAACCCAAATAAGTAGGTGAGTTATTTATCTTGTTTTTAACTTCCAATTATTTTCACATTAAGGCTCGTGTTGTATCAAGAAAACATTTCAAAAGGGCAAATATGCCCGCGATCGCTTAATCGGTGTGTTCAACACGAGACGTCGATTGAGTTATTATTATGCAATTAGTAAGCGCTTCACGAGATTCGGTCTGTGTCGGCTCATCTCGTTCCTGGAGGCTCGCGACGTGGCGCCACGGGTGCGCTCGCCCCGGGCGTACAGCCGCCAGTCATTAATCATAATCAACTCGGAAATTATTTCGACGTTTAAAGTTTTCGATGTTATTATATCCGCCGCCAAAGCGATCTTATAATCTTTATGTTTATTGATAATAAGATAGAAAAATTGATATGTACACATACCTATCTATGGTGACAGCACCTTTATGGAGATCGCTACTGTTTAGTCCATTTTTTCAAGCATCCTCTATGCCTCCTTTATTTAAATATAGACTTTAACTAGTCAGTTCGAGTATAACATTAATAATGTTTTGGGTTGCTTTGCAGGGTAATATCGAAGGAGGGCGTACATCATTGTGGATACGTGCGTGGCTTCAGGAACAGCTATTCATATTGGGCTGTTTTCTACAAGGCGACGCTGGCAAAGTATTATTTGTCGCGATACTAGTGCTCTCCACATTCTGCGTCGGATTGAAATCTGCGCAGATTCATTCCAGAGTCGACCAACTGTGGGTTCAAGGTACGTTCAATTATTCTTATAAAGTTTTATACTGATGTTTATGCATTTAATACTTAAGAAAGCTGAAAAACATGATGATGAAGCCATCGTGGCATATTGTGCATCAAGTAGAATACAAATGCAGTGATGAGGGCGTGTTTGTGGAGCCGCTTCCGTCTTGATGGGACGTGCGCAGAATGCGGTATAGCAACTACACAGTGCGCCGCAGTGTGTTACCGCCCTTACAGGCAGTATAAACTTGAATTTAAATTCGTCAATCAGTCGGCTGAATGGAGCTTTGCGTCCGGTACGCCACTCGATTTAGTTTAATTGTATTTCAATGTGTTTTTAATGTATTTCAAACACAAGTTATATATATTTTTGGTAGCCACTTGTAACTATAACTTTTTTTATTATGTATTCCTACCACATCTTACATAATTATGTCTTAAAATAAATTTAAATAGACGGAAGTAGTTAATCTTATAAACAAACATTGTTTTCGAAATATAATTATGCATATTGATACTTTATGAATATCACAGCTGCAAGCTGTGATATTCATAAGACAGGCGTCTTGATTAAAATGAAGTATGATTAAGCCATAATCGAACTCAGTTATTATTAAATACTAATAAAGCAGAACACTCAAATTATTAAGCCATGTTTTTAAGCCAATACAGAGACTATGGAATATCTCTTTAAGGAAAATATCGCTGAGACATATCGTCCGATCTTCACGTGGGCTTTTCATCATGGACATATACCTTGTCCACACTACCCAGTTGTCATTGAGATGTAGTTAGTGCTGTGCTTTTGTTCATACTAATTACCCTTACTTGCTTGAAAAAACCCTTGAAAATATTTGTTGAAATGGGAAAAAGCATTTAATATAGAAGTAGGTTTAGAAAACTTTAACGGCTCTTGTTTAACGGTTATTCCAAAGAACATACATGCATATATATATATATATAAATATATTTTCGAAGAATTTCCTTTGAAAATGTTGAAATGTTATAATGTATGTAGTGTACGTACTTAACATGTATGATAAAGTATTTAAAAAAAAAAAGGCCATCTGATATCTCTGTTCTTGTCACAGGACGAACTTACGGGTACGCGTACATAGAACAGTTGAGGCCCAAGTGCGAGTTTATTTCACTTTCAGAAATAAACTCACATTTGGCCCTCTGTTGTGTGTACGCGTACCCACTGGCTGGTCCGAACTACTGCCATCTCAGTTCCTTCCCCCATCTGAGACTTACGGTATTCCTTAGCCTAACTTCCGTTTCTCTTACCCATATTTAACATCTTATCTTCTGGGTTATCGTCAATAATCCAAAATAAAGAGCATAAAAATGTTGATTTCAATATAGGTGATGTAGGTATACGCTATAAAAGATTTACATATAACAAAATAACTATGTTTGTAACAAAGTTGGTTAAAATGTTTTAAGTTTACGTTAGTGTTTATTTTATTGTTGCAACACACGTACGATCATTGCACGTTCCTTACTTGATTTATATTCATTGACGTGAATTATTAATTAACCTTATATCTTTTATTGATGTGAGGTAGTAGACATTAACGTTTCCGGGTTTAATAGCAACCATTTATTTGCGATTCACGATTACACTTTGAACTTCTAATGTAATAGAATTTACACGAATAAGTTAAAACGGCAAATTAACAGATGCCTAGAAAAGTACTAGAGCGCTTCAAGGTTAACTTAATTTCTTGTTTTAACATAAAAGTGTTATTGGTTATGAATGTAAATAACACTGAGATCTAAGATTAGTGACGTTATGATTAGATATAAACGATCTAACCACATTTATAAACCCTTAACTAATGGTGGTTAAATCTTAGATTCGTAGTAAACTTCCGTAGACATGTTCGGTTCTCGGCAAAAAGAAACCATTTTTATGATGCAGTTTTATGTATTTTATGTTATTAATTTAGCTGCCTCGGTAGTGCAGTCGAGACCTCAGCACAGCAGTCGCATACGTAGCGTGTTCGACTACGTATGCGACTGCTGTGCTGAGGTACGTAGCGTATACGACTGCTGTGCCGAGTTCTCGATTCTCGGCTTCGATACCCGGGTCGGACAAAATGTTGGTATGATCTGCAAATGTTTGTTTCAGAGTTTGGATGTTTTCTATGTATAATATGTATTTATTTACAATAAAAAAGTATACAAGTGTTCTATGAGTTAATCTAGCTGTAATAGTACAAGCTCTGCTTAGTTTGACACTAGATGGCGTTGTGTGTCAGATGTCCGGAAAATATTATATACTAATTAGTAATATTGAATTATCATCTACAATCTTTGACGACTATGACAAATTAATTTGGACTCGCGCCTTGTAGTTTTAAGTGTATTTACACTTTTTTTATCTTATATATTAGTGTAACTTTGTATAAGCGCTGTGTTTCAAATCCTTATTCTATATCTGAAAATTTCCTAAACTTGATGAGAGTTCGATTCCAAATCCGGGAATCGAACTAAGACGTTCACGAACCCGTGCATAAGTTATCGCTAACTTATACTACGAGACTGCATGGAATTTATCGATGCCGTTAGTAATCTATTCAATCTATAAATTAAGTCAATAAATATATTACCTAAACTATAAAATCGTTATCTTCGCCTTAAAAAGAGCCACAGTTGTCTGCACATTGCAATATTTACAGATCTTCAAATGATGCCTATGCACAACAGTAATAATGATATCCGTAATTAGTGCCATAAATCAGCTTCAAAGGTGATGTAGGTGATAAAAATGGCAAAGTAAACGACTGTATACGAGTAGTTATGATTCCGGAACCGATACAGGACGTGAACTCGGCACATGCGGGCTGCGCTTGCGCAGAATGTAGAGTATCTCTCGTATCCACATCCTACCATTAAAATTTTATTATTTATTATCAACGAGCGTTTACTTTCAACTCCTTTGATGTAACGTGGCTCGTTAACCTGTTAAATTGTTATTACCGAGGACCAAATTTATGGCTTATTATTAAAATTTAATTTAAATAAAATATTCATCAATGTTCCTAAGCAAACTTTGCTCTACGGGGCGCCTCGGCCTTTTACATTGGCGAGGACCAATACAGCGTTTCTTAACTTTTAGTTTTTTACCATGCAATTCTGTTATGACCAGTGTTGAACACCTTTTGCAAATAGGTATGTAAAAACAACTTATCACGTTAACTTGAAATGATCATCTAGATTTACTATCAACGAACATATGCGGGTAGTGGTTAAGATTTTACATTTACATATAGAAAACATAAAAATAATAAAGCCATAAATAACTGTTCAATATTTACCGATACCGAGTTGTATAGATTGAGACAAAACATTTAACACAAAATAAGTGTTAACAAAATTAGTGTGACAGACACATAGTTATAGCTTACAATACGATTGGAGTTTTAAGTATCAAAGTGAAATACTGTTGAGAAAAACATATTTAAAATAGTATGAAGAAGCGGTTTTAAAACGAAAAGAATACAAAAGATGGGACCAACGCAACCTTTTTTCTTGTTTTGACCTCTTAATATTGGGTGGTCTTGTTTTTACGAATGTATGAAATGGTACACATTTAGATGACTAGAATATTTTTGATATATTTTCGATTGGAGGATGTGACGACTTCAGTAGAGGAAGTTGAAGAGTGCAACATCCGTTGTTGCTGTATCCCGTAGGACAAAGTTCACATGTACAACTAGTGTTAGTTAAACATAGTTTTTCAATTTTTATAAAAATATTGTAATTACAAAATCAATATAACTTAAGGACCATTTTCTATACTCGTCAAATTTATTCAAAGTTATGGTATCTTCTTCTACGTGTTTTAAATAGTATGTGAAGCATATAAAGAATATAAATATGACAATCAATATTCTGAGTCATTCATTATACTCTAATTTGTATATTAGATTTTACTCTTGATATAAAAAGCTGTTAGTGGCGAAAAAGTTGGTCGAGCCGATAAAAATAAGACGGATGAATGAGACATCGTTGGATTAAAGGAGAGTTTTTTCAACAGTATATTGTGAAACAGTCTAATATATTATGTACGACTGATATTAGTCTGTAGACTTTTGAAAGACCGTTAATGTTCTTTAAATACCTGACCTCAGTGAACATTTAATCTTCTACTATGTTTTTTAATTCGTTCCGATTGCTAGACTTACACACATCAAAGCAATGAACCATAAGAACTTACTTCCCCTAATGAGAGAGCAGATGATGCAGAGAGAAATGCTTAAAAAAATTAAATAGCGTGGGTGGGCAAAGGAGAGCCGACTATGGCTAGGTAACAGCGTAGATAACGTTAATGACTCCTAAATATTCTTTTAAAATGACACAATACAGTGTTGTGATCTACACATTGAATATAAATTATTAAAGCTCTTTCCATAATACAAAGACCAAAACATTGAAATATCAATTAATATTAAGTCGTCGGCTACTGTCCAAACAACATAAACATACTCAAACTTAACTGTCTCACAAAACCTTATCGCGGAACAAAGCCGGCTGAGTTAAACAATGCCGAAGGTCCCGGAGTCGCCTAACAACTTAATTAGCTGGCCTGAGTCCGCCCGTAAATATCCCTACGTGAAATTACGACCAATAAAACTAAAAAAATGTATAACATTTCTATTGAGTCACAAAAAACGAGGGATCTGATTGTCCGGTCCGCTTTTGTATGAAGACGTCTTGCTGCGCACCACATTCGGCTATTGTATAGTGATCCCTTCCCCGGAACGCTTTTCTCTTATTTCTATTGACCATACTCCGTGGGCGAGTTCTCTGTAAAATGGTGTGTAGCGTACAAAATCATTATAATACCTATTATTCGCAGAACTTGAAAAGGCTTACGGTACTCTATTTACTAGACAATTGAAAATTTGTTTACCTGTTCCGTAGTAACTCAACTGCATTAATATATGGTATATTAAAATGTTTAAACCCATAACTATAGATCATGCGAAATGAACACATAAT